TAGTACTTTATAATCATCATGTTTTCATAATTATTTCAAATGCTTTACAACAATTATCCTATAAAGCATCATTATACTTAATAAATGCCTGTCACTTACTGAAATGTGTTGTGGTTGCAAGGAACATGGTATATTGGTATTCCCATATAAATAATACATTGTATTTTGTATGCAGTATAATCCCTGTTATAATGGATTGTAACATAATAACAAATATATGTAATATATAATTTTCCCTATGCAACCTGAAGAGTAAAAGTGTCAAGTCCGTCAGAAAGCAATGACTGTAAGTGTAAGTGTAAGTGTAAGCCTTACACTTACACTGTAACGGACCGTCCACACAGCAGCGTTAAAAAATCTTGAAACGCTGCTGCCCATTCACTTTGAATGGGGTGACGTCACTTTCCCTCACTTTTCGCCGAACTGCATTGTGGGCAGGCGAGCAGAGATTTTCAGGATTTTCAGGATTCAAAGTTGAGCAATGTTCAACTTTTGAGGCTGAGGTGGAAGCGTCAGCCAATCAAATCCTGTGTACGCAAATCTGACAGTTCAAGCTCTAGCCAATCAAACGGCGTGTATGCTGGGAGAGACATACCTCCAAAAAATGGAGGAGAAATGAGCGGTAGGGAATCACCCGGTGCTTTATGACCAGTCCCTATTTACCTACCGGGATATAAACCGGAGGAGCCAGGCATGGAGGGAGGTGGCAGAGACAGTGGTATGTTTTCGCCTGTTTGGGGAGTTTATATCCAGTTTACTTCAAACTGTTTTGCTTCGTATGTCGCGGGCGGGAGATTCATGTGATTGGTTGTTGGTGCCTTGCTCGCAAAAAATCCCCAAGCTTCAGATACGCCCACCTCCAAGATTTTTTTAACGCTGCTGTGTGGACGGTCCGTAAGGATTAGTAACATGTATTGTGTTTATGTGATGACATTTGGAGATGTCATCACATAAACTGCGTTAGCATTCGCGCTAGCGTTAGCATACACGCTAGCGTTAGCCATACTAGCCTGTATGCTTATTGCACAGCTAGCATTAGCTATATTTACCTTGTTTACACTTAGCGGTCCTATGTGTTAATCTGTGTATGTTACACTTGCATGTATGAGATCATTAAGTGCCTTGGAACTTCTGTTTTATAGTTTCACTCCGTTTGAATGTCAGTGGACTGCAAATAAGTCAATAAAGGAGCATGGCTGCTCATTCCCTGGCTCTCAACAGAGTTTGGCTGGCTGTTTAATCTATGTTCACACTGAGACAGTACAACACATAGAGAGAACAGTACACCTATTGTGTAAGTGCATACAAGCAGGTCCCACAGTATGATCACAAATACGTAAAATCTGTTAAAAATCTGTTTTTATTAAAAAGTACAGGCTGCATATCATGTGTTCTCAGCCTTGGAGAAACTTGACATGTTTTGGGATGTGTCTGAACCTCTCTTTAGTGGTTCATTAATAAAACAGATATTTCAACGTGTGCCTACTTTGTTCATGTACTGTTGAGGTTAATTTCAGTAGTTGTGTGCTATGATGTATTTACAAAGTGTGAAGAGGAGGCAACTTTAAAATAGGGAACCTGTTCAGGTCAATTAGAGTCAAATTACTAGCTTATTGGTTATGAAAAAGACTTCACTTTAAAATAGGGAACATATTCTTAGATAGAAATACCTAATTAGAGTAAAACTACTAGCTTATTGGTTATGAACAAGACTTCACTTTAAAATAGGAAACATGTTCTTAGATATAAATACCTAATTTTGAGTTATTTAGACACAATTAATACTTATAGTTTCATGTCTTGTTACATAAGAATAGATCATATTTGTTAAGTGTTATTATGGGATAATTACTATTCTTGTGGTACTACTGCCTTATTAGGCCCATATTGAGCAGAGCATATTAAGACCAAAACTCATGTACAACAATTTCCTTACTTGCAATGAATAAGCACTAATTAGAGGGTTATTGAGGAAACACTCTTAGCTAATGGCTTATTACTTGTAGAATATGGTCATGCAGAATAAGGCATTATTAAGTGTTTTATAATGACTAATAAAGAGCCAATATACTGCTAATATGCATGTTAATTGACAACTAGTTGATGGTGAATTTGTGTACCTTAATATAAAGTGTTACCATTTTCGAGATAGGCATCATAGAAAAAGGGTTACCAAATATTGTGTTTTGCTGGTTTAGCATTTGTTTTGTTAAAGGGTTTTTTCCCTACAGATCCCTATTATGAGGCTTTTTCTGAAACATGAAAGCAAACATGTTTCAATTATCTCAAAGCAACATTTTAACCATTTAATGTCAGGGTATATAGGGCGAGATGAGCCAGTGTAAATTGAAGGCAGCATCCACACACTGTTTACTTCGCCATCTGCTTCATGCAAGAAGGACCATAATAACAACCAAGTGACGTGTGGGTGTATCCGGCTGGATGACACGGTGATGGAAGCTTCTATTACAGCTGAGGGATGTAACTCAGTAAAATGGACTTCTAATTGACAGCGTGTATTGGCTCTGTATATTAGTGGGGAGACAAGTGTCTTGAGGGGGCTTTTCATGTGCCTGAGGATGCCTGACATGTTGGAATTATTTCCCCATTGGTGTTAAAACACAAACCTTAATTGGATTACTTCAGCACAAATTGGCAGATATGAAAAGAGTCAGCCAAGCTACTGCTCACCGTATAGGGAACAATCAAATAGGAGGCTGTCAGCCAAACTACTTACAAATGAAATTCCAGATTGGCACCGAGCTTGCCAAGCTTTCACCAGGTAGAAACCCTGACAGGATCCAAACAATTACAATGCATTCTGGGCGAGCAGCATTTGTACCCCCGCGGACCAGTGCATGAATCAGGGATATCAGTTAGAAGGCTTTCAATTAGAGAAATGTAATCCAAGCAGCTGTTGCATCGAACAGTTCCAGCAAGCGAAGAGAAGAAGCATCAGTACGACACATTTACTACAATTAGACAGAAATGTGAAGAGCTTTCGCCGGAAAGAAATGATGTTTCAACTCATAAATGAAAAGCTTCACAACAGAATTCATACAGTAGCTGTCCTGCCTTCAACTAAGTGGCTTCTCTTAGTATTCTGTATGGAAACGAGATGACTGATGAGCATATTATTCATACCTTAGTGGTGCAGGAATGATTCCTAAACCTGGAAATTAGTTAGCATTTTAGCACTTTCAGGCTCCATTGTCTCAAACAAATCAATGTTTTTTTGTATGAGCTTACGAAATGTTACGTCTTGTACAAGGACTTCAGTAAATACCATACTGTTGAATGTCTGTAACCTTTCCGTGTCTTAACAACCGGGATTGCTAATAAGTGACTAAGAAAATACTACTAAACTCCATCACACCGTACAGTCTATCTAGCTTAGCTTAGCTTAGCTTTAGCTTAGCGATGTTGACCGAAGTCATTCGACCGTCATGTAGTTGCTTACAGTCTTATGTTAGCTATTTACTTCTTGTGATTGCATTAATGCTTCAACTACTATACAAGTAGTGTTAGTTTGTGCAGAATTGGTGTTTTCAAAAAATCTTATTTCTCCAGTATTCCAAAATCATATCGTAACACCCCTTTCTACTTTTTGTCAAAGGACCTGCAATGCTTTCTTCTGACTCAACATACACAAAAAAATCATCTCTATTACCTACATGAATATATTAATGTAACTGCAGCGAAATGTTGCATTTATTGAATATTAGATTTAAGCACTCTGTGATGTCTCAAACGCATTGTAAACATACTTATAGTACTTTATAATCCTCGTGTTTTCATAATTATTTCAAATGTTTTACAACAATTATCCTAAAAAGCCTCATGATTTTTAATATTTGCATATTTAATATTTACAAAAAAACCCATCTCTATTAACTCCAAGAAGACATTTTCGGTTTGGTTGGATTTGGTTTCTTTGTTGGTGTGATTAAAACAAAAAACAAAAACACTAATGGCCTCATTCTCATGGAACTTGTGGAAAGGATGTACGATGAGCAAAGGAAGTGCCCATTCATAATTGGAGCAGATCAGAATCAATGGGCGGATACAATAATTATTTTTCACTTATGGAAATGGTCTTGGCAGAGGTCTTTGCTCTCATCTAAAAGCCCTTCTAGTTATACCTTCAATAATTCATCCAGGGCATTGCCTGCCTTTAGAATGAGAACACACAGTCAGAAATAAGAAAAAAGGACTGCCTAGTAGATTTGCAATGACCTTGAAATGAGGCGTAAAGGTAAGGCTCTAACCAAAACACAATGAAATGTAGTCTCCAAGATGCAAAGATGTCAAACTCCCCAAGGCCCAACGACACTGCTCACACCTAGGAAATGCAAGCATCACTTGGAAATATCTCACATAGTGGGAGATGTAAATGTGTTGATTACTATAAAAAAGGTGCCATTATACCATCTGGATCTTAAACAGCTCAAGTCCAACACGACAACATATAAAAACACGACAAACTTTATCATCTCATTCACTCTTTGCTAATTATCTGGCCAATTAGGTGTAAAGATTTAAGATTAAGGCTTTATTGTCATGTGCACATTAGCCACAGTGTAGATATGGCAATGAAAGACTTAGATCACATGCTCCTCCAACATACAGTAATGAACAATGATACAACAATCTGCAAGAGATAGGCATCATAGAAAAAGGGTTACAAAATATTGTGTTTTGCTGGTTTAGCATTTGTTTTGTTTAAGGTTTTTTTCCCTCCAGATCCCTATTATGAGGCTTTTTCTGAAACATGAAAGCAAACATGTTTCAATTATCTCAAAGCAACATTTTAACCAGTTAATGTCAGGGTGTATAGGGCAAGATGAGTGAGTGTAAATTGAAGGCAGCATCCACACACTGTCGGCTGTCGGCTTTGTTGACATGTGCACAACAGTGTAGATATGGCAATTAAAGGCTTAGGTCACAGGCTCCTCCAACAGTGAGTAAAGGTAATTCAAATTGAGAAAGTATTGTGTTACCTCCTGAATGTGGTGGGGGGCCGCACAGCAGAACCACTCCTTGGCCTTCGCGCACTGATACAGAGTTTCTTCTGTGGGTCTTGAAGTTTTCCAAGTCTGAAGAATAAAAGAAGGGGAAGTTAGTGAAAATAAATCACCCCAAGTCAGAGGCTGATTCATCTGAACACATGAAAGCACTGTCATGAACAGATTATTATTTTTCTTTACCCTGTTTTTCTTGCCTCTTCTTACTCAGATTCAAGGTCAAAGCCTATAGAGCCCAAAGCAGTGTGCAGCAGGCGGAAGAACACTCACAACAGGATGCCGGTTTATTATAGAGCTCACTCAGATAAACTCACTACACTCTCACAAAGTACCGGAGAGTTCCTGGCCTATTTTTCCTTTAGACTGTGAGAAAACAAGGCTTAACCCTGACATATACAGTTGTTGTAGACTCCAAGGGGCCAAGGTTCAACCCCAGAGTGTGTGTGAGGCAGCAGTCCAAACCACTGCACCAGCTCTACAGACAAAGTTTACACAAATACAGAAACACCATTATCCTCTCCGTGCTAGTGTAAGGAACGTTTTCCAAAGTGAACATGTTCTTGTCTGGTAAATAGCCTTTGGCTTTGCCTCAGGCCAAACCACCCCTTCCTGGTTCTGTGGATATCATGGATATCCAAGACTCATTGTGATATTGCTTCAAAAATCAGAAAGATGTGAATTAAAGGGTCCCAATAGGGGCTTTTACTGGAATAAGAGAATAAATAACTTGTAAATACGTTTCAAAAGTTAAACATGTTATGAAGAGAAGCATCGCCAGGTAGGATGAATACATGCTTGACAATAGAACAAAGGAAGTTGGATTTGAAAATAAATAAAAACAAAAACAACAGAAGCACAAAACAAGCAGGTCTTGATATCATCAAATGTTGCAATTACATGCATTTCCTTAAGTTTCTAAAAATATATTATTGTGGGATTCAAAGAGAACCATAATCTAACACTTCATAAACTACATTATATAAAAGTTGGCATGGAAAGGCGTTAGTGTTATTATTGAATTCAGATGAATGACAGAAATAAAAGAGTACATTCCTCTTCCATCTCTATAGCCAAAAACACGTTATGAGCATCACATGATACGAAACGATAAGATAAAACTTTGTCAGATTTAGTTTTAATTTGTTCTTGCATCACAGCAGCTCCATTTGCAACATCAACAAGGACAATATATATATATATTTAAGTCAAGAATGACACAATCAACACCAGAATCAACACCAGAATCAACACCAGAGTCCATATATGGGAGAGTGAGCAGAGTTTCTATTCGACACAACAACCCCTTCAAATGTATATTGTATGGTTGCTGATGTCAAATTACATTTCCCATCCTTTGGTGCACGTATTGATACAATTATTATTGCACTCACAATGAAGCCTCCTGATTGAACCAACGTGTTGCAAATAAGAGAAGGTGTGATAAAGTTAATGTTTGCTTCCCGAGGATTCAGTAGCACCTGCTATGTTTCCGTCAAATATCCAAGCCCCAATTACTGCTTCCTCCCTTGTTAAAAGATAACATGTTGTTAGAGCCATTTTCATTTCATTATTATGGTCTGAATGTTAGGCTTAATAATAATATAAGGATTTAGATTAAACTCTTAATCGTTTATTTTTTGTGAGTCACACTATGGTTTAAAATATATTAATTTAAGGCTCACTTATTTGTTATCAAATGTGCGTCAGGTATCACGTGCATGGCTAAATGCCTATATATGGCAGGATAATGGGACACAGCTGATTGTGATGAGACGGGGAAGCGGTAAAGTATTTTGACCGTGTTATTTTTTGATACTGATAACTTTTATTTATTATGAAGCGAGGAAATGTGTCGTCCTGTTTCTATGCCGTCTGGACCAATGAATAAAGCTCATCTGATTCAACACCGATCTCCGCTAAATTTGTTTGGAAGCAAAGAGAGGCGCGTCAAAACCCACAACCCCGACAGAGAAGTGGCTATTAAATGTAGACACGGATTAAAACGCCACCACATATGTGTACGCTTTAATTAGGGAGGCTGTGGCTCAGTGGGTAGTGCGCTGAACTTCAAATCAGGGGGTAGCAAGTTCGAGTCCCACTGCAGTCAGCATGTCGTCGTGTCCCTGGGCAAGACACAGTACTGAATGTATGTAAGTTGCTTTGGATAAAAGCGTCTAACAAGTGTAATGTAATGTAATTTATTTTCCTGATTTTAAAAGTCAATTTCAGTGGGGCATGGTGAACTGCATGTGACAAAGGACATACAGTCATACCTGCCATGATTGCATTCTGCTTGAGACACAGTTGAGTGAGTGAGAAAATGAAAAAAATAATCACGACTATTACTGCACCCTGAGCTAGTAATTGTATATTCCACATAATGAATAGAAACCTTGCATGAGCTAAAGGCATCATAAGAAAACATAAAACGGTGCGTATCAATAGTGACACACACCAGGTAATATGAGCCAAACAGCAATCTGCAGCCGCTAAGCAGAGTGTTGCTGTGGCGGGTCACACATGAAGGATTTTAATAGCTCTGGTTACCTTTCATTCATCGTGCCCATCACCACAGAACAAAACAAAGCTATCCCTGCTATGGTTCTGACACCAGAGGTAATGTTACATTGAACACCATTTCATTTGACAATTGATGGAAACAATAGCAGGTCATTACCACTTCCAATAACTAGCTGCACTAATGGTGTATATCCTGGTAGAGCTCAGTAAATGTAATTCACAAATCACATGGAAGCCTCAGTGATAACTCTCGTTGGAGGGGGGAAGATAAATGTTCTTATTGCAACTACTTTAAGCGCATGTAATTACATGTTGTACCGTAATGTCAATCAAACTGTACACATGAATCAATTATAGCAATTTGTAGTAACATGGCAACGTTATTAAATTAGCATAGCATCAAAAAGCAATCAGTACTTCCTATTTATCTTGTTCCATTTCCACTAAAACAACAACTAAAGTATGATTGTATGATAATTCCACAGCAGTTTCTATAATGCCCATGCTTATGAATATACCTGTAATGTGTTATAATCGGCCTATAGTTCTGTATAATAAGTAATTACTCATAAACGTCCTTGAAACCTAATCAGGAAAAATCATAGCACAATTCAATTAATAATAAGGTGAAGTGTTATAAAACCTTTCACGCACTCTCTTTTAGTTTTTAACAAGATCACAGTGTTATATCGTTCCCGTAGGTGTTAAATTCATTTATTTATTTGTTAGCTTAAGGCAAATTAAATACATTGCAAGTTGTGTTAACAACATCAAACACATGATTGTGAAACTATTGTATTGGGTTAATCATCATAAACTAATAATTGTAATCAAATGTCTGTTCATTTGTTGATGGTAAACAACTAAATGATGGACATATACATATTACCTTTGTGTCTTTGCTTTTAAATGAGTGTTTTTAAATGCCATTTTATAATATGTTTCTCCTGCACTGCTATTTCTTTTTGGAAAGCACTTTGAATTGCCTTGTGTTGAAAGGTGCTACTGTATATAAATAAACTTGCCTTTTCTTTTGACATATGTAATGTTGAAAAAAACTCAACCTAAACGGTTAATACTACACACAATACGTTGATACATCCTGTGTAACCAAAGGTATCTGAGAAAACAGTATAGCCAGAATATTGACTTTTGTCTCAGAAATCTCGTTTGATCCCAAAAAGAAATCACAATATGGCTTTAATCCTCTTCCATACATTGCACATGAAATATGTTTATAATTCATTTCAGACTTTATAGAAAGTAAAACTCGTAATTTAAATGTGTCTACTTTAAGGTCAAATTGCATTTAAATATGCTTTAAACAAACAGACAGTCTACAAGAAAGGAATATAAGACGACAATGGGTCTCAAATGCATCCACACATATTGTCCTAATAGGAAGAATTAACCTTAATTAACCTTGCTCTATAACACGCAGCATACTCTGGAGCAGCGGTGCGGACACAAGGGCTCTCTTCTGCCAACCTGCTCCGTGCAAAACTGCAACCAATCCACTTTAAAATGAGATTACTGATTAGTTCAGCTCCAAGTGATCTAAATGTAAAATTATTGGGCTCAGTGATTTATGAAGAGGACTATAAGGTCAGTTAATATATGTCATATTGGCTGCCGGACAAGTCAATTAAGGAACAGCCTTTGATTATTTCTTTAAACATAAATCTCCTCTTAACCCATGAGCAGAGTTTAACTAATAGCTATTTGAGACTCTTAAGCCCTATTAAGAAACCAACTCCTAATACTTTTCTAAAGATTAATGCCAGATTTGGCACTTTAGGTCAGGGATGTAGAAACCTGATGCAAAGCTCTCTTTCAAAGTGTTAATAGACACGTCTTTTTTGCTTGTACTTATCACTATGAAGTTAATGCAGAGTGCACTTTGTAATGGCTGTGGGATAATGACACCATTGGCGTTTAGATTGTTTCGGTCTGCCTTCGGGTCGCAATCTCCCTGGAAATGAAGGTTCCATCTACAGCACGAAGGGGTAGATGAGGAGGAAAACACTTGAGTTGTGTCCTTACTGATGAAGGTGATAACATAATACTAAAGAGGATGTGTAGTCGATTGCTCCCATTTTGTCAACAGCAGCGCATTACAGCTAAACCCCTTAAATTCTTACCTTTGCCAATAAAAGCGGTAGATATAAACACTGCAGCCATGCTTTCCAGAGAGCATTTTGAGGCAATCCAAGAAAATTGTTTTAAACTTCAACAAGATAGGTGATGGTAGCTATCCCCAAGTGATTGACAGTGGAAAAACTGGAATATTCCATACCTTGGAAACACGGCAAAAAGCATACTTGACAGAGAATTCAAAGAAGGCTTAATGATTACAATGTTTGTTGTACTTTAATAATACTTATGGATGTGAAATGCCATAATCGTATAACTGAGATTCTAGTTATTTGAAATTCTTATTGTTGTTTCTTGCTTTGGAAAACTAGCGGCCCCAACCCTAACCCCAACCCTAACCCCAACCTTAACCCCAACCCTAACCCTAACCATTTTACGTTAACCATATATGAACAAGC